ATGACATCACGGTTGGCTACTTCTTTATTCTTCTCGTAACTCAGTTGGACTTGATATTCGGTGGAAGTACGCTGAAATGAGGAAAGCAAGAGACTTCGGGTTCAACGAATTGTCCCTCATTATTCCGATATAAATGTTGTAATGTTCCTTTTGTGTTTCGTCACTTTGAAGAATTGATTTAATCAATGTATGTTACATAAATTTGACGTTGAATATACATGAGAGATTATGGCTGATGAGTGTATTGTATTGGACCTAAAGGATGTTTTTTCCTAGAGTTGTTTTCAAGAAAATATCCTGCTTATCTCACATCAAGGTCCCATTGAAGTCGACAGTGATTAAAAACAGACAATTTCCTTCTACTCGGGTTACAATGGGAATATTTAAACTTTTGAGGTATCGTCAATTATTTTAAGGTAGGTACAAAAATTTTAGATTATCACAATTTGGTTCTGGAGAGATAACTAAACATGGCCAGATTTCTAAATCGGTATTCATGTGTATACGAGTGTGTATGATATGAGTCCTATACGTTTTTCTCCCGCATATACATATCGATCATGAAATTACCTATATTATACCAGTCCTCTCATTTTCAAATGAAACAATAAATCGATGTGAAGGACTAGGCTCACTGGCAAAAAATTGCCCGAATTGATCACCCTGTAACTATTTCAAGCCTTGCCCGATTTTTGTGAAATTTTGATCAAATCGTATAGATTCATATTGCAGACTGTTAGCCTGAATGTTAGTTTCCGTGAACAGCTGATAAGTTGATCAGTATACAGGGGAAAAGCCAAAGATACTATTTCACCTTTTATTATATGCTTTAGATTGGAGTGTGATCCCTTCTCAACTCTATAGTTTTCGATTCACGTTGATATATCATTTTCAAGAGAAAGTTCCAGTGTTTTAGGAAAGTATGGCATTTTTCAATTTTTATGTTCAGAACCTACATAAACTTATTGATAAACAGCTTAAAGTAGTCTTGATGAATTGCCTAAAATTCTACTTGATGGGCTAATGGTAGCTCGAAGAGTCTCTGACAAGGCCTCTGGAGTTTATGTCAAGCTCCGAACAGAAGATGTCAAGTATATAGGTTTCGAATTATTGTTAATAAAAATTTAAAAATCCCATGCCTTCTTAAAACAAAAAATTGTATCTCCTCTTGAAGTAGGGTTACCGACGTGATTCAAAAACCATTGTATTGAGAAAGATCAAAATATATAATGAAGCTATGTTTGACAACTTAGCTTTGTCACAGGCCGTTGATAAGTTAAGGCTGAAATTGTAACTTTTGTTCTTCCCTGTATAATGATCAAGTCATCAGCTTTCCTAAGGGCCTAATAGTCAGACTAACATTCCGAAGCATGTGTATACGATTTGGTCAAAATTTAACCAAAATCGGACAAGAATTGAAAGAGTTACATGGCAAACAATTCTCCTAAATCATTTGGTGGCCCGTATTTTTTTGGCGTGTTAGTGTATATTCATCATGAAACTACGATAGACAGTCGTATACAATCCGAAACATCCTTCTTGGAAACAATCATCTGGAAGGTTGAAATTTTGTTTGTATTTTGTATCATCATTGACACTGTTAATTCAAATTTGGTATAATGATCGAAATAACCGAAAAGGAATTTTCTTAGACCTCTCTGAATTATGTCACGCAAAAGGTTGCTTCAAATTTGCTTCATCGCAATAATCACAATGTCATCAGCATAGCCTTGATAGGATAGGATATGCCGAAGCCCTTGCGGTCTGTCTCTGCTTTCTAGGATGAAGACGGTCTTCTTCATTACTGCAATTGGCCATATTTCACTCGAAGCAGCAGCAGTTACTGTCAAATTGAGTGTCATTTGTCGAATGCATTGTTTTTTGTCAACAGAAAAAACACAAGAGCTTTTTTGTATCGAATAAATTTCTCTTAGTAACAAAAAACATTTGCCGATCAGTAATTTTAGGAGAAAAACTGACATGAGACCGTAGGTCGAGCAATTTTGTCTAATGTCAGTTTTTCGAGAGAAATAACTGATGGAAAATGCTTGAGTTAGTAAGGAAATTTATCCAATTAAAAAAAAGTTCGAGTGTCTTTTGGTAAGATAAATCAATGACAATATACAAATAAACAACAATAATGATCACCTTCATTGATGATTCCGTGTAACTGGTAGTTTGCGTTTCCGTGTAGGTGTTGATTTATCATTGTAAATCATAATTAGTTTGAATACGAAGGGTTCAAGAAGTTGTTCTTACACTCATTTTCAATCATTAATAATTCGATAGTTCTTTAATAATGGCGTCAATTTTATTCACATCCGACATTTGGTACTTTGTAGCCAATCTCACAATATCTATCTAATCCTTTAAAAAAAATCGTTAGAGAGCAGTTGAAACATCCATGCATCAGGATGTTGTTCGTTCTATACTTCTCTGGCTTCCAGTGCTCTATTGATTGCTCTATTGGGCAGCTTTGTCAAATTGTTTTTCTATTTTTTGTGTTAATCCTGGATGTTGCATTCCAGCTGGACCTGTTTCTGTGAATTCTGACACCTCTAGCAACGTTTCAATAAACCTACAGCATTGAATAGAATTTTATAGAAGCAAATCTCGATTTTCAAATCAAGATAAAAACTTCATTAGTAGTTTATTATAACAGAACTCAAGTTGAACATAACCAACACTCCAATTGTTATCAAACTGTACACTATTTAATAATCTTCATGATATGAAATACTCACGGTTGGTTTCGTATAACGAATTTCAATGAGACTCATATTTGCTGAACTCGCACCTTCTCAGGAATATTAGGCTGGTCAAAGGAGTTCTTATAATTTCTAATATTGAATTGAATCGGATTTTACTTGATGAAAGTTGATTATAACAATGAGGAACAAACTCACCTGAGTAATAATTTTCACAAATTCACTTTTGTACATGTTTCACTTTCAGCGAATCAATAATTGCGTGTGGAAAAGTGATTTGTTGAAAGCATTTCTCAGGTTAGTTTGAATGCATAGGTTATTACGGAGGTTATGTTGGGTTAAACTTTATAAAAAAATATATATAGCAGTATACAGATTTTGAACACAACATAATTCTCCAAAGTTGACATAGAGGTGCTTTTGTCGCTGTTTGTCGCTCCTAGAAATAGTTATTTACCTAACAAGTGCGAAAAGAAGTACTTTTTCGCACGCGACGGCTGTTGCACGAACGACGCGGAGCGGAGTTCGGACAAGTCGTCAAGGGTTAGTGTTTGCATCAATTATTTATTATTTATTGAAAGTTTCCTGAGTTGTCCATTTTCAATTGGAATTACGTACACGGAAAAATGACGCTTGAAATGCTTATTTGTTGACTGCCACAACTGTCACTTTATAGCGACTGTTGCTATGGGTACGTACGTATTTTGAAAGACAAGCTTTATAAATACGGTATGAGGAGCAAAGCTTACGAGTGGTTATCTTTGTACCTAGATAACAGGTTACAATCTGTCAAGATTATCGATAAAGGAAATAAATATATGTCTGACCTTATGGTAAATTCACAAGGAGTTCCACAGGAATCCATTCTTGGGCCCCTGTTATTTATCCTTTACATAAATGAGTTACCTTCTGTTGTACCAGAGTCTTTTACCACTCTTTATGCAGATGATTCAACGTTCTTGTTTAGTGAAAAAGACTCAAACATTTCAATGGACAAAATTATGAATGCTTTGTTGAAATTTTCTGCCTGGTCTAGTGATAAATTCTTGTTGGTTAATACAACTAAAACGAATTTTTTATCATTTCATCCTCGCCAAAAAACTTGTATCCGTAACTTTAATATATTGGTTAACAACTCAAACATAACAAGAAAAGAAAATGTGAAATTTCTGGGTGTATTATTTGATTCAGATTTGTCCTTCAAAGAACACTGTTTAAATCTATCCAAGATGTTGAACTCCAAATGTTTTCAAATTAGAAATTTAAGGAAAACACTCAATATAAATCACATTCGTTCACTTTACTTTAGTGAAATACAGTCTAGGATCAGTTATGGAATTGGTATTTGGGGGAGCTCTCCTCATGCTAAAAGTGTTTTTATGTCACAGAAAAGAATTTTAAGATGTATTTCAATATTTCAAACATCTCATTTGTAGATTCCTGTCGACCTGTTTTTATCAACTTGAGAATTTTAACTATTTATGGCATTTATATATTGGATTTAATCACATCAGTTCATAGAAATAAAAACGATTATTTACGAAATAGTGATATTCATGCTCATGACACAAGATATAAATCAGACTTCTCTATACCTTACCAGCGAATAGAAATCTGTAAGAAATCACCTAGAGTAATGGGAATTAAACTATACAACAGTCTTCCACAATGTTTTAAAGATATTGCCTTGGTGCATAAATTCAAAGAGAAAACTAAAAATTATCTCATTGACATGTGTCCATACTCGGTTGAAGAATATTTTGAAAATAATCGTTGAATTATCTGTTCTAGCTTTGTATTATGTGATTGTATATTGTATTTATTGTATTTTAGTATTTTAAGGTAAACGCTCTAGTTTCGGCTAGACTTTCCAATTTTAATTTGTTCTTTTTGACCTGTCTTATGTCATTATTTGATATTATGAGATCAATGAATTCTATTCTATTCTATTCTATTCTATTCTGGTGCCAACAGTTATCACCACATGTCTCCTAGTATTTCCTTCGAAATCGTGCCGAAAAGTGAAAATAATGCGGAAAAGTTCATTTTTCGCACGCTCGTAGGAAAAAATATTGGTGGGTTTGAGAATATATCTTCGTGGGAGCAATATTATTCAAATTATCTTAATGTGAGTTCTTCTCGGGACATGTATATTTTAAGTACTTCATGAACTGAATATACATACTCCAAAATTGACTGACCTATATTGTCTCATAATAATATGGTAATTCCAAGAAGTGCATCGTATGTATATTAAATTCCCTAACAGATATACTGATTTCAATCATCTGTGTTTCAGTACATGGTAGAAGCAAAATAGATTCTGTAAACTTTGTAGAAGCGTTTAATATCATATAATATTGATTCGCCAATTCGAAAGACCTCGATCGAATAAATCTAGATCGTTAATTTCAATTTAGTGTCGCTGATTTCTATCAGTCTCATCACAATTTACAACAAACCAAGTCAGACTCTGGAAGAAGATAATATCGTTTTGATTCTCATCTCAGTGAAAGTAAGTAGTTACATTGTATCCACTTATGGTGTTCATAGATTATTTTATTTAACTGCCTATTCAGGGTGATGGTCCAGATTATTGTACAGTGTGTCCTGTTTTCGATGCTTTTGCGTGATATCTCTGTTATCTTTGGAGATAAAACCTTGCGGTTTTTATGACATACAGGGCGATTTTGAAAATTTATACTTTTTGAACCCCCCTATATCTAAGAAGTTTCTCAGCGAAAATGCTAATTAAAATATTATCCAATCATAGAAAATGTCACGCAGAGTTCGGTGGCATTGTTTTTTCAGGATATGGTTTTGGAGATACGACTCAAACTATGATTTTTCGAATGGAATACGTAACGTATTTTTTCTACAAGCGTGCGTGATTCACCCTATACCCGCACGCAATTTAGTTTGGGAAGTGTCATTTTCCGCAACAATGCGGGAAAATTTTTCCCACACTAGTGCGGGAAAAACAAATATGTAATAATGTCGCAAAATATAAGTGGTAGGTGATGGAATATGAAAGGTTAAGTTTGTTTGTTGCAGTATCAAGTATGTATGTTCAGAATCATCCATCAAATTGCACTATTTATTGTGAACATTAAGAAATATTGAAAAATAAAAACTGATGATTATTATAAAAATCCCCCAATAGATTTGGATTGATCTCATGGGAAACGATTATTGTTGTCATGCCAATCAAATCTCAAATGAGTTTGTAATTGTCGAAGTGACAGACACAGCGTTACTGTCATTTTCGATTCAGTGGAAATGCCACAATGTGATCAAAAACTTCCAGCTATAGGGATGCGATACAGATGCGTTATATTGCCAACGAAGTTTCAAGGTATGAGAAGCTATACACGCGTTTCATTGAATGGTCTAACGATAAAGAAATGATAATACCGAACAAAGAAAAAGTAGTTTTGGCTCATTTCCTAGAAGTGTCTGAAACCTAGAGACCAAACACATTATGGGCCTGCTGGCTTCCGCAATGAACCTATACGTAATGCGTCAAACTGTGAGTTCACAATAGCTTCGCGTCGTTCGTGTCAACGGCAGTCGCGTGGGGGAAAGAATTACTTTCCGCACTTGTTAGAAAAATAACTATTCCGAGATGCCCATACTGACCCTCCTTATCTTAGGCACAGTATACCTATACTCGTTGTTTTTTGGGAATCGTGTATTATTCTGTTCGAGAAACCAAATGGTTTTTCTTACATTCAGATAACAAAAAAGAGTACTCTGTACACAACATGAATTATTCATGATTGTTTCGGTCTGGTGAAGTGATTGTACAGAGACCGCATGTTGCCAAACGAATCCATAGTCGTAGTTAAGCGCGTTTTCTAAATACAGGGTGTTTCGATTCAAATGTACAGGGTGATTCAAACTTCCCACCCTTGGCTGATATAAAAGAGGAAAACTGCAAATGCAAATTTGACTGAGGGAATTTGAATGGCTATGTGTAAGGTATATTTTTTCCTACATGAACATATTTCAAGCCTATTCAAAAATGACGGAAATGACGTATTGAGTATACATATTCTGATAACAACGATTTAATTGGTGCCTATGCCATCAAAAATTTTCTTTTATAAGATTCCTACAAACGAGAATTTTAATTTTTATGAGTTCAAGTGAAGAGTGACTTCATCGCTACCTAATTATTACCTACTCTAGCACGGGTACCAGCACATACAGGGTACGACTGAAGAGACTCCCTTGCCAAAGCAGGGGCAAACAAATCTATCAATGGCCCAGAACACTTTTGTGGTATTGCGACAGCTATATAAAAATACAAGTAACAAATCATGGATGCAAACCAAATCTCAAGAATGGTGGAAGGTGGAACAACTCGCCAGGAATGAGACAGGCAAAGGAGTTTATTAAAAAACCATCGCCAACATTCACTGAAAATCTACTGATCCAGAAACGAAGTACAACTAGAATACTAGTGGAACTTCTACAGGGCATTGTTGGCTTAACAAACACATGAGTATAATATGTCTGGCTGGAGCATTGCTGTGCAGGTTCTGTCAGAAATAGGAGGAAACAGCAGTACACATACTTTGCCACTGTGAGGGCTTGTCAAGACCAAGGTTCCTTATGCTGGGTGAGGAAAAACCAAGAGCCCAAAATTACACAGGGGATCTGAAAGCTATTCTTTGGAGTCTCATAGAGAAAGGCTATCCAAACGATTTTGAGGGCAGACACAATATATCTGGTCGCGGTGTAGAGGCAGATAGCCCGAAGGCCGCATTCTAAATCTGAATCTTTTTCTACCAATTATAATGTTCCTATGAATATCAAGTATAATACCTATGGGTACGTCTATGTCCGAATATTGTTAGTAAAACAAACAAGAGGTTTTCTACTCATTATATGAGTACTATATTGAATTCATAATCCATTGAAAACTGATTCATCATTGAAAAACAGATGCACTCGCGATCCTCTCCATGACAGACAACAACTAGATAATGTAGTTATCATTGACAATACATACATGATATACCTATACCTATTCCATTCTTTTGAGTATATATATTTTATTTTTTTCTGAACAAAGTCGAAATTTTGGCTTTCATGATCATTTAATGAACATGAATTGTTTCGTGGATATAGCTCAATTATGCTCATAGAACATATTTTTTGTCTAGGTACACTATGAATTTGAGAATTCAAATATATTTCACAGTTCTTGTGATATCTGTTTCAATCAAATCTACTGCGGAATATGGTAATTGGAATCCTAACAGACGTAAGTACCTACAATGTATTTATATTGCCAGATAAGGTCCCATGTTATATACGATATTTTGATATCAAACGTCCTTATGAAGGTGATAATCAAGTAACTCTATGAATTTGTTTAATTTTAACGACTACGTTATTTGTGTTACCAAAGTATTTCATTGTGTTACCAAAGTATTGAATACTGTCAAAAAAATTATGACAATGATTGCAACTACCATATGATGATATTAAATAAATAGAGTTTATATCACCTTTGAAAAGGTTGGTATATACAGTGAGGACGTAAAAAGTCCTCCCCCCTTTAGCCTTTGAACGGAACAAGCTAGCGAGGTTTGGTGAAATTCTGGCAACAGAATTCCAAGTAGGGATTGTAACAAGTGCTCAAACATGCTCGAAATGTCCATCGTTTACTTATTGACACGAAAAAATCGGTTTTGGAATTTAATCCGAACGTGATTTATTGTTTCCGAGGTACATTTCAAACTACTGTAATTTTCCAACGGCTTGACCGATTTGCAGAAACAAGGCGGGGTTATTGGATAGAAAATCGAAAGACCTTCAAAACAAGGTACCACGTGACCCCTCTTTATATTCGAAAAAAAAAAAAGGTTGATGGTGCCCACTTGGCACTAGGTCACGGGACCACAGCCATTTTCATGCCAAATAGTAGTGAAAGAGGTGCCTTTTGCCTGAATTATACCCGACCTCGCAAGCTTGTTCCGTTCAAAGGTTAAACGGGGGGGGGGGGGGACTTTTTACGCCCTCACTGTAGGTATATGTTTTTATAATGCGATTTCCTCTAGAACGGTACAAAATATCGATCAAAACAAGGTCAATGTATACTATTTTTGTAGAGAGAAGATGTATAATACATGATAGATAGATAATAGATAGATAAACTTTATTTTCCTTTTTAGACAATTACATTTCATATTGTATAGGAATCGTCAATAGGTCTTACAAACTAAAGGGACATATAATCATCTACCTACACTATAAAAACAGTTATGTAACAGAAACTCTTTCAATCTTCTTTTAAACACAACCAATGTTTCACAGTTTTTATGTTGATTGGCAGTAAGTTGAAAATTCGTGGGGCCATGAGATTAGGAGAATTGTATGCTAATTTACATTTACCAAATGGGACATATACATCATTTTTTTGCCGGGTATTCACATCATGTTTGGATTTGTTGAGAACAAAATATTCATCATAATTTTTGAAAACAAATACACAATATTCAAATATTAAAAGACAAGGTAATGTTAAAATGTTATAGTTGATGAATATATTTCTGCAGGATTCTCTCATAGGAACACCTACCATTATTCGTACTATTCTTTTTTGAGCTATAAAAACATCTTTCCAGTGTGTAGATAGGCCCCAGAAACATAAACCATACCTAAGTCTAGAGTCAATCTGTGCGTAATACAAGGTCAACAATTGATCAATATTCAACACTTGTTTCAAGTTTCTCAATTGATCTGATATTGTGTTCAATTTCTTTGTTAATAGTGCACAATGGTTATGCCACCCCAAACATTGGTCGATAGAGAGTCCCAGAAATTTGGTGCTTACACTATCTGTTATAACGAGATCAGAATTTTCCTTTGCCTGGAAAGTGATAAAATCACAACTTTTCTGACGATTGTGGAATCGAATGGAAACTGTTTTATCAACATTCAAGTAAAGGTTATTTGCAGAAAACCATCTATTCAAATCTTGAAAAACTTGATTGCATTTATCGTTGAGGGCTGAATCATTCTTATCAGAGATAATTATGGACGTATCATCTGCATACATGGTCATAGATGTATCAATTGACTTATCGAGGTCATTAACATAGAATAGAAATAATACAGGTCCCAAAATTGATCCTTGTGGAACCCCTAATTCTGTTGAAATGAAGTCAGATGGTGTTTTGTTGATTTTAACAAATTGTTTCCTCAAAGAAAGGTAGTCTGCTATCCAGGCCAGTGGAGTACCACGAATACCATACCTGAAGAGTTTATTTAAGAGAATGTTATGGTCAACGCAATCAAATGCCCTGCTGAGATCACAGAAAATCCCAACAGGGCATTCTCCCGCCTCAATAAATCTAATTATCTCACTATAATAGGAGTGAATGGCTGTGGTAGTTGATTTACATACATGACTGAACAGCCGTTTACATATCGAAAGAAGCATTATATAGTATGAGTTAATCTATGTTGCCGAATATCATTGATACCACTGCAACCGTTTAAAAGTTATACATGAATAATTATTTTTGTATCTAGTGCCCAAAATGCTATTTTGGTGATCGAAAACAGAACAAAGTAGGTAGTATTTTTTGCACTAAATACAAAAATAACTATTTCTTTTGTGACGGGAAAAAGTAGTAGTAGTTTAAGATTTATAATATCTTATGACCTCCAGAGGGGCGCCGATGAGATGCTTGTCTAGGGCGCTGTCGACATTTAATCCGCCCCTGTTGCGGACCCATGTTCATAGGAACTTTTTTTCTTATTTTAGTATCCTCTATTGTGTGGCACTATGCAATGTACTTTTTTCTATGTCACCCTGTATAAAATCTCATGTTTTACAGCGGTTACAATAACTTGTCGAAGATGTACATACCTTTCAATCTGTTTCAGGACCAAAAATAATGGGAGACTTGATTAATATGAAATCCCTGGATCCAAAGAAACTGAGAGTACAGAGGAAAATCGTACTTTATCATAATTTCTTCAGGTCTAACGTTAAACCAAGTGCCAAAAATATGCTTAGAATGGTAAGTTATAGATAATCTGAACTCCGACACACAAATCTCGAGTTTTGTTAGCTGGTAGCTAATGGCTGCTAATGTGTTTTCTATATGTGTGATGCTGAGAACGATATGGCTGCTATAGGTATTTCATATTACCAGAAATGTGGAATTTTTCAATAATGCAAAATATTATTTTTTTTTATATTTATCTGAGATTTTTTCATAATACGGTGTAATAAATCTTTAGGCCACACCATCACCATTTCAAATTTATGTGTCATTCAACACTTAACCGAAATAACGATATCCCACATTCCCCGACTCTACTCTACGAATGATTTGAGAACAAACCCAATTTCACTGTTTTCCAGAAATGGCACAAAGATGTAGCCAAGGCAGCTCAGAGATGGGCTGACGCTTGTGTGTTTCTGACACATGACAATACTACTGGACGATTTATTGATAATTATGGATCATGCGGGCAGAACATATTCATCTCGTCCCATCAAGTACCTTGGTGAGTTCTGAACCTTCTCTACAGGTTGTTTGGTTCACCGACGTACCTTTATCCAGAAGGGGGTGGTAGGTCATGAGATTTCAAACATTTTTAACTATATATACTATTATACAACGTGTTTGGTACTTTCCAAGAATAGACAATCAGATGAAATGTTTGAAAAAACGATAATAGATATCTCGAAATTCGTAACACTTTGTATAATAGTATACAGGGGTCTCCCTGAAAGGTCTGTATGAAATCCCAGCACATAAGTATTCCTGAGGTCAAAACAGGCTGATTTGAAGCTCCGTTTCCGAGATACAGTGTGGTAAACTTGAAAATCGGAATTCGAATTATTTATAAATTGAAGAACCTTTTTTCACGAATAACTTTGAAAGTTGGCAGTCTGGTTTTTTTGGGATGCGAAACCCGAATACAGATACTTTTCCACTGTGGCCATTGGAGGGGGAAACTAATGCACTTCCTATGGTTTAAAATAGTCATAACTTTTTTCTCCGTATACATTTTTTCTTTCTCGGTTGCGGAAGAAATGTTCATTGTTCTGTACACTTTTGACCAGAAAAAGTACTCTTGTGGAAATCCGCAGAAGTAAGCCATTTTCGAGATACTTCGGTTATTAATAAATGTTCGATGCCGCATCGGGATATTTAAATTATTGAAAAAAATCTTTGCTGTTATCTAGTCAAGGATAGTACCTTTGATCTTTGATATTCAACAATTACTAACAAATATCTCTTCAACATTTCTCGCCCCTAGTAAAGCTTCTTCACTATACTCTCTTTTTCCCTGGGGATTCTTGTTCAACATTCCTCACACATGAATGTACCAGTCGATGTTTTTTACCACTCCATCTTTTCCAGGAACAACTCTAACGATCTCACACATAGGTCATGTATTTTCTGGAAGAGTGCGCTATCGGCGATCACAACAATATCTTTTTTATCGGATCTGTCTTTTCGAACCATATTTTTTATTCAATTTTTTATTCGAACTTTTTCTTTCAATACAAGCGTACCTCATTGGTTCAAAAATATTCAGAAAAATATTACCTTGACAAAAATTCGCTGCCATATTCATTTGAAGTACATCAAAGTATACCAATTTGGCTGGAGATGGCCATTTGAATTGCCTAAACATGTCTCAAACCTTTCAAATCTTATTGAAGCAGGATTGACTGCATCTATTTAATATTAAACTTGTGGAGACGACTTCGAGTTTTCTTTCTTGATCATTCCAGTCCACGTTGAGTATGTACTACTACAGAAGATAATATATAACTTTGTATCGTATCTCCAAAACCAAACCTCGAAAAGTACGCCACTGGATTCTGCACAGAATTCTCTGTTAGACATAGTTTTCAACGCAGTATTCCTCATAACTTTGTAGTTATAGAAGGGGTCCAAAAAGTATGAATTTTCAAACTCGCCCTGTATCTCTCAAACGGAAACAGTTACATAGCACTATATAGTAAGTGGGATAGGAACGTGAGGACCGCAAGGCTCTAGCTATCTTCCGAGAAACCAATAGCAGTATCAACCAAATACACTGATTTTCTTCATGAATCTTAATTTCGTCTACAGGTTCTTCGCTGTGAACACATGGTGGTTAGAGAAGGATTTATTCAAGTTTGGAAAACCCAATAATAATTTAACCATCATTGGACACTACACCCAAATGGTTTGGGCCTCTACCCATGAAATTGGTTGTGGTATAGCAAAGTGCCTCCATCACGGAAACTATTTGTACACCAAAGCAAAAGTATACTACAACTATGTATGCAACTATTGTCCTATGTAAGTTAAAGTAAATCGAATCAAATAATATCAACTTTGGTGGTATCGTCCGTGTGGTGGTCGGATTAGAATAACCCCACGGTAAGTCCTGCCTGTCGTAGAAGGCGACTAAAAGGACGCCAATAGGTGGAAGATGGTTAACGCCATCGCCCGGTGCGATACCACCACATCAACCATAGGCACTGTGAAATGGGTATACTTACCCGTGTTTCAGTAGCTGGTTGATGTTCCGGCCAACCCAACCCAATTTCCTTTTCCTTCCACGCCAACCTCCCTTCTTTATACAGAATACGCGATGATGAGTTCTCCTCAAGTGAAATTATCCGGAAGTAAAATACCTCTCCATTCGGATTTCCGGGCTAGAGGTGCTAGAGGGGGTTCACCATCGGCTCAAAAAGTCCTCAAGATAGACCTATGCAACATCCGAGGTCTAAGTAAGAACATCAACGATGTCCATCGACACCTTCAAATTGGGAAGCCAGACATATTGGCTCTTACTGAGACACAGGTCAATTCATCCACCAATACGACCTATCTGCTCTGTCCTGGGTACGAACTCCACACACGTTTCAGATTCAAGGGAGGTCTCTGCCTCTACTCTAAAACGAATCTCTCATGTCAACGAGAAAAAACTCTGGAACCAAATAAGTTTGATGTCATGTGGTTCAAACTCGATAGCCAGAAACAGACCAAATACATTTGTTGTCTCTACTTATCACCAAATGATCCATCCTATGAAGAGCTCTTCGAATTCTTGTCTCTGAAGCTTGACCAAATTCAACAGAACCATCCAGCAGCATAAATCATTATCATGGGCGATTTCAATGTACACAACACTGCTTGGCTCGTACACTCTAACAGAACGGATGAAGCTGGGCGACAAGCCGAAGCTTTCGCCATCACTCACGGCTTAGAGCAGCTTATCAAAGAACCCACACGAATTCCCGATGCCAATAACCATTCAGCTAACATACTTGACTTATTCCTCACTAATAATTCAGCACCCTACACCATAGATGTACGAGCTCCACTTGGCAATTCTGACCACACACTCATCTCCACAACCTGCCCATTTTTCATTCCATCAACTGCCCCGGCACCCCCACGTCTTATATGGCATTACAATTCAGGAGATTGGGACGGTCTCCGCATGTTTTTTTCCGAGTTTCCTTGGCATAGAGTATGCTTTGACTCTGAGGACCCTTCACAGTGTGCTGCGGAAATATCCGAGATCATCATGCTCGGAATGGACACATACATACCTCATTTTTCGAAAAGATCATCACCTTCGAAACCCTGGTTCAACAAAAACTGTTCTAGAACTGTTGCCTTGAAACAAACAGCCTACCATCGCTGGCGCAAAAACCCTAACCTCGCGACTAGAGCAGAATACGTTGATGCCAGGAATAACTGCAGCCAAACAATAGATGCTTCGAAAGAAACATACAATGCCAAGATAAGATCGAAACTCATAGACTGCCCCAATGGCTCCCGTTCGTTTTGGTCCCTTGCTAAAGCGGTCGGAAGAAATTTCACTAATAGTTCATTTCCACCACTGTCCAAATCCGACGGCACATTAGCAACAACATCGCAGGAGAAAGCAAATATTTTTGCAGAGATGTTCGCAGCAAACTCTACTTTAGATTCCCAAGGAAAACTGCCGCCAGACATTCCACCCGTTGAGAGTCGAATGCCCGAAATCGTCTTCCGTCAACGCACTATCAGACGAATTTTGCTTGGTCTCAAAACAAATAAGGCTAACGGTCCTGATGGAATTCCACCCATTATCCTCAAAAAATGTGCACCAGAATTAACACCGATTCTCTGCAAGTTGTTTACCATCTCGTACAGGTCGGGTATTTTTCCATCATGCTGGAAGACAGCTAGAGTCCAACCAATCCCCAAAAAAGGGAACAAGAACCTGCCCAACAACTACAGGCCCATTGCCCTGTTATCAGTAATCTCCAAAGTGATGGAGAAAGCCATCAATATTGAGCTTATCAAATATCTGGAGAGCTCAGGAATCATCAATGATAGACAATACGGCTTTCGCCACCGAAGATCTACTGGAGATCTACTTGCCTACGTCACCCATTTATGGCAATCTTCAATAGAAAAACACGGGGAATCTCTAGCTGTCGCGTTGGACATATCGAAAGCATTCGACCGTGTTTGGCACGAAGGACTCCTCCACAAACTACCATCATACGGCTTACCACCTCAGCTATGCCATCTCTTATCGAGTTTTCTTTCAGGCAGATCGCTTCACGTGGTGGTGGACGGTGTATCGTCTGATACCATTGGCATCAATTCCGGCGTTCCACAAGGATCAATTTTGGCACCAACATTATTCCTGCTTCATATCAATGATCTGTTGGGAGTAACAACTTGCCCCATCCACAGCTTTGCAGATGATAGTACCCTCCATACTGCGTTCTCTTCCAGAATTCCCATTTCTTCCCAGGAAACTAAGAACTCACGGCGCAGGCAGGTCAATGCTGTCAATGAAGATCTTGCTGAAATCACAGCCTGGGGAACGAACAACCTAGTTGAATTTAACGCCACCAAAATTCAAGCCTGCATTTTCTCTAGAAAGGCGGAACTCAGTATGCCCGATATTGTAATGTCTGGCTCCACCATCCCCACCAAGCCCACCATATCTATGCTCGGTATTTCCATCAGCAACACTCTTTCATGGGATATTCATGTCAGATCCATCGCAAAAGCTGCTTCACAAAAACTCGGATTCTTGTTCCGTGCAAAAAGCTACTTTACACCTCAACAGCTTCTCATGATCTACAAAGCGCAGATACGGCCTGTTCTAGAATACTGTTCCCACATATGGGGTTCAGCACCAAAACATACGCTGATGCTCTTAGATTCTATCCAGAGAAGAGCCATTCGCCTGGTGGGTGACGCCACACTCACTCACTCTTTGACATCATTGGAACACCGTAGAAAGGTCGGCGACCTTTCACTTTTCTATCGATACTTCCACGGAAAATGTTCTTCGGAAATCTCTGCAATCATCCCTTCACTAGCAATACCAATCAGACGAACTAGACAAGCCCAGTCAGCACATCCTTTCGTTGTCAACCTCGAAAGATGTCGAACAGCACTTTATCAAGACTCCTTCATCCATAGAACGGCTAGGCTCTGGAATTCATTGCCTGTGGAAGTATTCCCAACAACATATAATCTCCAAAAATTCAAAAAAAAATCCAATACCTACCTCCTGTCCCTATCCTCCCTAGGAGCGCACGATGTTCTTTGAGCATTATAGGGATTCCCTTTCGTGCGCTCCATTCGATTAAAAAAAAAAAAAAGTACTTTATTTAAATTAATTCATACTTCATTGTCGCCCAAAAAACATAGAGAATGTAGAGAATGTAGACAATAATCTACGCGTCGTGCATCAAGCTTCACATGCGGGAGGAAATAGATACCTTTCCTCCCTTGATGCTATTGTCAACCCACACATTTTCATGAATTTCACACACTGATGAATACCTAACATAATACTAAATACTATTTCTTGATTTTTCAGTGGTAACCGTCCAGGTCGTTTAGGAAGACCCTATAGAAGGGGAGAACCTTGCAGAGGATGCCAAAAACATTGCAAAGGAAAACTGTGTTCGAATTTTTGCCCAGCTGCTGACCAGTGGTCCAACTGCAAACAACTTCACAATATACACCCATATTGGCTGTGTAACACAAAAACGCCTCAAGGAAAACAAAGACTAGCCATATACTGTTCTGCTACTTGCAGTTGCAGGCATAAGGTGCACGACTAAAAATGCTTTCTGTGAATTTGAAATCTTTTGATAGATAGTATACGGTTTTTCAATGTTTTTATCCATATAATTTCAAAGTTACCTACCTCTATGATGGTTGGTACGTATATATTCAAGTATCACTTTCACAAAAAGTCTAATGATTTCAATTTTCTGGATCCATCATATTTCCTTTCGTATATTTACGAAGTTGATATTTTTTATATATATTCAGATTCAGTTTGTCAGACTATAGCTCTCTCTAGAACGATATAAATGTTTTTTTAATCATCAACCAGGAATAACCAGGGGGCAATTAGACTGAACTGGAACATATACGTATGAAAACAATTCGATTTTTGGATTGTCTCATTGCCCCAACTCTGTAGTAGGTACCCATTTTTATTGTTATTAATGAAAGAGTAATTATTGTTATACATTCTCTATTTTGTATTCATAATTGTACCCAAATATGTTTGTTTCAAACTTTTACCTAGTTATTCTTTGATATATAAACAATTAAAATGAATTAGAACCTAGTTTTGTTTTTAGGTTTTATTTTGTCATGAATATTTCCTGTACATATTTTTTTATAATCTATTTTGTTCATTTTTACTGTCACTATATAATATATGTGAAAGGGGTGTGTTTAGACTCGTATAAGTCTCAGATTATCTAGATGATGAAATTAAAATAACAAATATCTATAATCTAACATCAGGTGGGCACTTTGAAGGCGCAAATTCATTACTCCTTGGGAGATGCAGTCATTTTTCAGGTCTATTCGTGGCCGTCAAGCTCATTAGATGACGTTGCGATGACCTTGAAAACTACGGGAGAACATATTATGGATAACTAACAATCTATGCCAGGAGAGAAAACATGTCTCACTTCCAGTATGCCAGGAGTAAGGAATGTTTTCCCTATCGTTGAACGTCATCGCAACGTCACTCTAGTTGGAAGTAGATAGCCTCAAGTGGACCACCCGGTATGTTGAAAGCCCGTCCTCAATATTCACGGGTTACGGGTTAGTAGACATGGTGATCGAATTATCGGATCGGTGATTGAATGTTTTTCTTTTTCTCCAGTTTTCACTTTTCAGGTTAGAAATGATTTGTACAGAGAAGAATGGTACAAAATGTTTGATATTGAAAAAGTTTATGACTTAAATAATTCGTATGATTACTCTGTTTTAACTGAAATACCAGTGTTACATGCCAACAAGTTGAAATATGCGGAGTTTTTCCAGAACTTCATGTTACCAAACATTCCATGTGTTATCAAAGGTGTAACAACTAACTGGCAGTCATCAAAATTATGGTTCAAAGATAACAATACATTGAACACAGAGTACCTTCACAGAAAATACGGAGATTGCACTGTTACAGTTCATGACTGTTTGGTAAGATACTATAACAGTCAGAAACCTCATGATAGCACATTCAGTGAATACCTACAATATTTTGAGAAACATTCTCATAGGAACAGCAATAAACTAGATTACCTGAAAGACTGGCATTTGAAACTCTCACATGAAGAGGATCATTTCTATGAAGTGCCTATATTCTTTGCCTCAGATTGGTTGAATGAGTATTATCTACAATGCACTAATGATGACTATCGCTTTGTCTATATGGGGCCAAAAGACACATGGACTCCTTTCCATGCTGATGTATTCATGTCTTATAGTTGGTCTGCAAATCTCTATGGGAAGAAAAAGTGGCTTATTTTTCCTCCTGGTGATGAAGAGATGATGAGAGATAAATTGGGCAATTTGCCATATGATGTCACAGAAGAGATACAGAATCATGATAATTTACATGTTTTTACCATTATCCAAAATGCAGGAGAAGCTATATTTGTTCCTTCAGGATGGCATCATCAAGTGTGGAATTTAGAAAACACTATTTCTATAAACCATAATTGGGTGAATGGTTGCAATATAAACAAATTTTATGATTCTATGAAATCAAATCTGTCAGCAATATATAAGCAAATAGAAGACTGCAAAGAAATGGATGCTTTTGAAGAGCATTGTCAAGTAATGCTCAATGCAACTTTTGGGATGGATTTCTACAAATTTTATGACTTTTTGAAGTATATAGGGACAAAAAGAATTGAAATGTTCAAAGATGGAACCAAGAGGACTATTTTCAATGGCTATCAAATTGGTTCAAATCATATTTTATTTGATCTTCAGAGTATTGCAAAAACATTGGGAATATTTGTGAACTCAGAGGAAGCCAGTCATTTAGAACATTTTGTCAATGTAGATATTAAACCATCAGAGCTACTGAGCCAAATTTCAACAGTGTTGAATAAAAATATCTAATAGATAGGTAGTTCTCTATAGTTCACTAACTGAAGTAGGACCCATAGTAAGTAAAATAATCTAATATACCTTCTTCTGATGTCTTCCCTAATATAACATTAATTATTTTTCATATTCTGTACCTATTAGCTGGAATATTTTCCTTAATGCTAGTATGGAAAGGCAGTGTGCCAAATTTGAAAAGGATTGCTTTTGTAATCAAACTTCAATGCCTTATTCTTATTACTAATATAGTGCATCAGTTATTATGCATTTCTGAAGTTGTTCATCAAGTAAACTTCCTTCATTTTTCGAGTTCTCTGTCCCCTCTCAAAACTGGAACACCCTGTAGATACCATCAACATCAACAACATTGACAACATGCACACAACATGACAACCTTGTTTACTCATGTCAGTTCCTTCCACGCTCCACTCCACTGCTCCTGTCGTGTTCAGTGTTGCCGATAAGGCGTAAAAAGCGCAATAATTGCGCTTTTCAACTTCGGAGGTTAATTGTGCTTTTTCGTCTTTTGAATACTAACGCTGTTGAATGATCTATCAACATAACCTTACGCTGTGAAAAAACAAGGAAGCTACGAAAATCTCAGACTTGTGTACCAAAATCGAGACCAACATCGACAGTAAACTAGTTTCATGAGCAAAATTTCAAATCTGTCAAAACAAAAGCCAGAATTCATCACTGACGTAACTACTGTCTAGACCGCTAATAAGCATAAAAAGAAGCATATTATGCCACTTCGAGATCGCACAGCAAGAGAAATGACTCGATGTCATGAACGACAGTTTGGGGGTTCCTACGCGTTGAGCAGAACCATTTTCAGGAGAACAATTTGGATGAGATTTTTGGGTTGCTGAAGGATTATATTATGGTCACTAGCGGTCTTGGATTGTAGCTTTGTCAGTAAACGAAGTACCAGATACTGCGCATATGTGCGCATCATTACGCTTTCTGTTTCTTTAACACCGGCAACACTGGTCGTGTCCTCGTGACTCGTGATCTGTCATTGTTCTGTTTACAATAAAATAATAATAATGATTAAAATAATAATAATATGAATTATTATATGAAAATAATTTTCAGATCAGTGGTAGGTGAGATGTTTTATAGTGTAATGTGAAGAATTCTCGAATATCAGGAATATTCAAAGATGTTTCGTAGTTTGCAAAACTTGTGAGTTGTTTAATTTTCTATATGCTTGGTTTATGGATTCAACTAAACTAATAATGAAAACTAACAACTATGAACTTGAAAAGTTGAACACACGGAAACATCTATGAGGGTTCATATACCACAGATTGTGTTCATACAGTTCATACCCAAATCACTTCTTAACATTATTTTGATCTTTCATCAAAAGACATCTCACATTTAATTCTCAAGATATTATGTATATACACAGCCTCTAATTATTATTGATTGAATTCCTTATTGTTAATTTAATTGAATCTATAAACCCAGCAATAGGAATGGGATAATTGAATAATAACAGTAATCCTACAATCATAGTATTTCTTGTCATTGTAGTTACAAAATAAACAAAACTTTAGATATAATATGTTCTCGAAATCTATCATCTACGGAAGTATCAACAGCACTGAGGCCTTTCTATTTTTCTGTTCATCCAGATTTGTTTGGTAAATACCCAAATGAAAGGGTGTGTAAAGTAGCTATACCTAATGATGAGCATTTTCATGAAAAGTTTCAATTTCAGTCTATAAATGAATCATCCCTTCAACAACTAAGTTCTATATTGGAAAGTATACAAGCTTCACGCCCTGTTCGGCCAATGAGTTTAAGTTTCTACATAAAAGACAAATCTAAGAAGGCAGGTACATAAAATGTGTATATTGCCAATGCATTTTAATTTATCCATACTGTTTTCAGTGACATTTCGCCTTATAAAAATACATCTCAATCAAGGAGATATACGTTCCACTGTGATGAATATTCTGAAAAGTTGTGGCCTTCCTACTGATTATGTAGATAGCAAAAGACCTCCATTGTCTGCAAAAGAACCTGAATTCAAATTCAGATATGAAAATGACATAGATCTCACTAATGTCAATGAGAATCACCCAATATATACTCATGTTAAAATGCAAAGGAATATTTGGGAGGCTCAAGAAGCACAAAAGTTGAGAAATTATTTGAGCTCAAACTATGTAGAAGCATTAGAGAAATCAGAAAAGGGAGATATTTTTAGAAAAGAGATAACCAGGTTGAAGACAAAGATAGTTGAGGAAGTGGGTGTGAAAGATATACAGTGGGACTGTGGATGGAATGTCTCACATTTTAGAGGATGTTTACTGAGCTTTTTGTCCCTGGTGGAGCATCATCCCAATATCAAAACAGCTTTGCAAGGTATATTTAACATGTTATTTTTGGTTAAGGGTTTGTAGTTATCTCCTCAGTTATTTTCATATGTATTCTGATATTTTTTTCAGGTAGGATATTGGTTTTCTCATTTTTCACTGGTGTAAGTCTTGATGGCCATGTAATGCTGTTTAGTGGAGAAGTTAGACACAATTGGTTAGATGTAAGTATGTTCCTATTTCTAATATCTATTATGTGTATTGTCATCACAAAATTATTGATGTGATTTCTACCCAGCGAGCACAAACATCCCTGGGATGTTTTGGGATGTTTTGAAAATGTTGGCATGAAGATGTTATTTTGAGATGTAATATGCACTGACCAAAGAGGTCTTTGAAGGATATTGATGTATTGTTTTTGTTCTTCTGTGGCATTTCTTTGTTTGTCTACTGAGAGGTATCCCTGGGATGTTTTGGGATGTTTTAGAAATGTAGGCATGAGAATGTTTTCTTAAGGCGTAATATGCACTTCCCAACGAGGTCTGAGAAGGATATTGAAAGTATTGTTTTTGTCCTTTTGTGCCCTTTCTTTGTTTGCCCCACCACAACGTCTCATACTTACGTCACAATACGATGAATTCTGATTTGTTTTCGATTTTGTTCTTCTTGTTCCCAATTGGCATTCGCGTTTGCAGCGTGTCACGCTTACAGCACGAAGCTAACGAACAGAAAGGAATTTGGTGAAGTTTATTGTGTTAGAAGACTTATTTAGTTTGTAATAATGACCATCAGATGCAAGATGTGTTGTTCGGTGTCTCAGTGTAATTAATATATAAAAGTACGAATTTATCAATTCACAGCTTCTCTGCAGTTGCAAAATTATGCATTGTGGAGAACATTTCAAAAATTGGGAAACCTATTTCCAATTATATGTCTGTGTGTAGTAAGCACTACTCAGAAACCGATTAAGAAGGTAATTTCATATCAAGAAAATATTTTTATGTTCAATCTTTTTTTAATGCATTTTTTCATTCAAGGGAAATGGATTCCTAATGCAAAAGTTCATTTTGACAAAAAGCTTCAGAAAAGTACCTCGAAAATGGTTTTTTTACAGCGATTTAATGTGCGCAAGACGCGTTGAAAATGTTTTGTTGTGTCCATGAAAAGGCTTTAAAAAGAACTAGGGAGAAGGTAGTTTTGTGACATATCAAGGACTTCTCGATAGTTCTATTCATGTGTGAACAGAACATCGCAGTGGAGGTTCAATGTCTCGAAATCTCGTACTTTTAACATCTCTGAGATGTTTTTGTGCTCGCTGGGTATGATTAATTGAAAGATTAAACATAGTTGAAACTGAGCCTATCAATGAAATGCCTATTATAATTATTTGCTAGAATGTTCTATATCAACTGAATATGATTTTGTACTTTTCAGTTCATTAAAAAAATCAAGAATTATGATTCAGCATTGACAAGAATACCAGCTTTTGAGAAGTCTCTATCACATGTCTTGAGGAATATCAAAGTTGTGCGAAGGTTGGAAGTTGGTTATTTAACATAAGGCATGACCATTATATTGTTTTTAATCCACTTGACATGATGTGTTTATTAGATTATGTTGTCAATTATCCCTGTTCTTTTTCCTGACTCACGTTTTTGTTTTAGAAAATTCATGCCAAAAATCGTAGCTGGGGCTTATGAACAAAACTTGAAACAGATAACTACTTCTCTCAGTGATTATAGTGGGCAAAAACCATTTCCTATAGAGTGGCCTAAATCTCTAGAAGATTATGAAATAGTTGTGGAAACGTAAGTACTCAGTTACATTGCTCAAATAAATGAAATACTTTTTTTTTAACTTCCAACCACACCATATAAGCCAGAATTTGTAAATTGTACTCTTTAAAAATGATAAGCATTCTTCAAAAATATTTAAAAAGTATGATATTGTGTAATGTTTTGTCAAAATAAAAACAAGAAATTTCTATCCTGTATTTGTTCCAAGTCATACAACCTGAAGAGTAATGCTTATGCAATTATTGGAAGTTACAATGATCCAAATTCAATCAGAAAATTTCTGCTTTTGTGTTAAAGTGTTGAGAATTATTGAATATTCTTAGGGAAGCTGGACCCTTGATGGTATCACCTACTGGACAGTTTATAGTACCTTCAGCAATCCCTGGTGAGTTACTAGTCAACTTCATAACTGAAAATCTGCAAGATGCTTGTGAGAAAAACAAAGAATATCAAAGGTGAGTGCTGTATTCTGCTTTACAAGACATAAGATGATAACTAAAACTATACATTTTCATTGGTTTCATTTAACATTTTTCAAACATATCCTTATTCAATTTTTCATAAATGATCTGTGATATCAATATACCAGATTGGAGTTATAGGGAAATCCTTCTAGATATCATTACCCAGTTGTCAAAAAAGAACATATTGTTGATCTGCATAAGAAATGCGGAACTCCGAAAATTGCAGGGTATTTAATCAGTTTGTTTTGATTTTTTATATATCATGATTCCAGTGTTTTCCCAAATGCAAATAATATGAAATTATTTCTCATGACTTGTTGTTTTGGTTTTTCTGACAAATAATACAAAATCTTATTTTGGTTGGTTGGTTAGTTTGGTTAATAATCACAGCATCCCACGTCTCAAGTGAAATTGAAGAGGTAATTTCTGAAACTTTTCTGTAAAAACGTTTCCAAATATTACATTAATCCATGGTGCTTACATTCCCTCTCAACATTTGCACTTTAATCATTTGATCTTGCATCATCCCTCATACAGTGTCTTTCAAGTATGGGCTTTATGGGAGCAACCTCATTTCCTTGGTTTCATTCATAATGTTACCTAACCCTAGATGAATATGTGCTTGCTATTGATAAAAATGATCTCACCTTATTTTATATGTTTGGTACTGTGTCCTGCATATTATCCCTATCCAAAACAAATCTCCTGAACCTAATCAAACTCATTCCTATTCCAAGCATTGCTTGTTTCTCGGTCTATGGAAATAGTTTGGTTATGTTTTTTAGTAATAAACATCTCGAACGGACATTGGTGAAAAAGTGCATTGAAGAACTGGAGCTGTCAGAGTTACTGAAAGAGGACAATATTCATCCGGATTTAATGATAAAATGTTGTGAAAATTTATTAGCTAACAAACAGGAAATAGAGCATTATACAAAAAGTTTGCATCTCAATATTTCTACATATTATTCTGTGTTATCTGATGGAGTGGTTTGTATTCCGTGGAATTTCAGTCTGTGATTCACAGAAAACAAATTATACATCCGAAATTGTAGGTTTGTGTTGTGATAAGAATGTTCGCGAATAAAAACTAATTTATTCATTTTTTAGTATAATTTCACATAGGAACGTTGATATCACTGTGCTACAGTGTTTTACTTATCACAAAATTAACTATCTCTTGTGATAACTGTTTCATCAGCCGGTTCTGTATGCATGGCCATTATTATTTATGATGGCAATTCTAATCGCTCAGAATGACCAGTGACAGCCGTCAGATCGAGCTCTCACTCTCTTTCGACTTTTACCACCAAATGGCATGATTTCACATTTTAACATTTCTCACTGAAATGGCTAATAAAACCTCTAATACTTGAAGTGAGTGATTTCAATCTCAATCATAGTAGGTGCAAACCCTAACAATACAATAACAAAACTTTTAATTTGAAAACTAAAATGTAAGTGAAAAGGGGTTCGTCAGGCCAATAAAATTGATCTTATGTCTATTCAAATTAACATTTGATCATCAGTTGTGAATTATTTGTCATTTTCTTGAAGTTGTAAAAACTATTGCTATTCAGGTTAGTTTTAAAAATGGCACAATATCAGTAACAAAATAAAAACTTTTGAAGCATCATGTATTTACATTGTCACACCTGTGACTAGTTCTCAGCCCAGGGCATAACTTTAAGGGTAGATTATGCCTTCATATCACATGTCATATAGATATTTGAAATTATTTTAGTACCATTGACTACAGTAGTAGGTACTCATGTAATCTATATTACCAGTGTTGGCAAAATATGTGATTGAAAATTATTGGAATTGATAACAGAACAATAATTGTTCTAACTAATTTTATTTTCTGTAGACACTGAAAATCATGGATTGAAACAAATTTGTACTAATAGCGCATCTGACTTTACTTTTTGGTATCTGTACATATTAAATTATTTTTTACACATACATAAAAAGCCCTTAAGCTCCTAGAAATAATAATTATTACAGGTTGTTAATAAATTAGAGATCACAATTCGTTGAATAAAGAACGGTTCAGTCGATTGGGGAAAGAAATATGATTATGTTTTTCGCCTCTTTCTAATGCCTACTCTTCTTAAGGCTGCTCTCATAGTAGATTTGTCGATTCCTTTCATGTCTGGTTTTGCTGTTGGATGACTGTCTTGTGCCCCTACGTCTCCAAGATCTATAAAAAAGAAACTTTATAAACTGAGTAAAAATGGAAATATCAAATGAAAGCATGCTATTTTGATTAAAAATGGAAACATTGTGAGTCGAAGGCGTTTTTCTATATTCATTTTATTTCGAGAATGAAATTCAAGACCTAATGATTTGGTTCATTCAAGCATGCTTCTAAGGCGGTACATCTAGAAGCAGAGACGACAGAATATCTTATTGTGAATATATGAAGCGCAGAATCATGCTCTTCCTACAATGTTTTACTTACACATCGCTGAATTGCGAGAAATCATTTCTAGTAGAATGTCCATAAATTAACGGAAGTGTCCTACCAACTGACAAATTTATTTAGAATAAGTTATCAGTACAATAGAAAAACTTAGTTATCGCTATGATATTGTTCTAATTCTAGAACTAGATTTATGTTTTTCATACCACTAGTTCTGACTATGCTGTTAACTAGGATTGTTATATTTAATGACTTACCATCTTCAGCTAATTTTCTTCTTTTATAATGTGGTTGATCGACATTGTGTAAAGGTAAAACGTTGGAACTACTCTTAGATCTAGTATGGTGCCCCGACGTACAAGTTCTACCTCTACAAGCCATCATCTCTGCCAAGAGATCGTGCAAGTACGATTTTTCTTCGGGTTTCAACATATTGGCCCTGTTCTGGAGTTCAAAGGGATCTTGAAAAGAAAAGATAAATTGAACTTTTAACATCCACAGACAAAAAACTGATATTATTTAACTATGTATATTCAACGGGTGCGTACGATTAATAACTCTCAGAGTAGAGTGAACTTAGTTGAAGGTTTTATCAGTTTACTCTGAGATATTTACTATTCCCTGTATTATTCCAAGGGAATTTTGCGTTATTGGCATGAGCATGTTTGAATGTTCGTCAATGTGACATGTTTATTTCAGTAAGTTCATTTCATAAAGGAGTAGATCTTGATATTCCAGTCGCAGATAGATAATTTTGAAACCACGTCTTGGGTACTGCTATACTGATAGCAAATTCCATTGGCAGGAACTGGTGGGGTGTTTCTCCACTGAGTGTATATTTCAACAACCTGGTGCTGTGCCATATCAGCCCATCTGCTACAAACCCCTCGCTATAAACGAAAAAATTCGAAAAAAATAGTTTGAATCTATCCCTATACAATCAGCTACCTATGACCGTGAAGTTGTTCAGTGATTCAAAATTCAAAAATACAATCAAGTCGTTTATTCTCAAAAAATGCTTCTACAGTGTTCAAGAATATTCAGATTCAAAAATGTCCTTTGATATACTATCTGAGGCGCTCACTCACGAATTGTAATCTCTACTTTTTCATTTCGTCAAATGTAAGCCTGATACTTAACTGTTTTTCGCACATTCATTCATGAATGATTAAATGATTCATTTTTATCATATTTTATTTTAGTTATTTTCCCATTTATATATTATATATTTCATTATTATGTCATTATGTCTGTCTAACCACTATGTGTATTCGTTCTTTATAAGTATTTGTGATAGGAACATGAATATTATCTTTGTTACATTTTGACTTGCACTAAACATTTACATGTAACAGTGTTGAATAAAGCCTATCTATCAATCTATATTCGCCTCTTTTTAACACATGCGAGTAAGAAGGAAACATATACATTGAGCGCAAAAACACTTCACCAGTGCATCCCAATGGAATTCGATATAATGAAATATATACAATAAAACTCAATATACATATATGATTGAATTGAGATAAGTGAATATTTTGCTATCAGATTTGTCGACCTCAACAGAACCTTATTATAGTGTCATACTTTCTGTGGATCTTATGATGTTTTTCCTCATCAAAATATGATGTTGAGAAGTACTCACCAAGTTTGAATGTTTTGAGGATATGAAAAAAATCATAAACTGCGTTTCAAATGGACTTAATCTTACTTGAAACCAAAACACACTTCTTCAACCTTGTTCGCCCTCTAATAAGTGTGTCGAATCTGTGGAGTGAAGTATACCCACCTATAATGTGGAGTTACAAGAGTTAAACGACGTCAAAAACTTCAGAATTTACGAACGACAGTCACAGAGTAAAATATACACAATCTAACAAATTTCTAACGCAAATGAGTAAACTCTACCTCACAGAGTACATATTCGAACGCACCCCTGCAAGCATTTACAATTAATTGAGGTGTAGACTCACCTATCCTTAAATTGAAGAATGCTACAAACCCAGTAGTAAACTCGCAGTATAAGAAATTATGGGTAGAATTGATTGTCCTCACGCAAGTATACGTATTATTATTAGAATTCATGCAGAAACAGAAAGGTCCTGCAGTCCACAGTGGAGCCGTCCTCCAATGATCATTATCATGGTGGAAACAGTTCATTTTCTCATGTCCGCACTCCTTCTCCAACTGATCTTTCTTCTTTTGCTTGCGAAGCTTTTTCTTCAGGCGTTCTTCTCTTATTCTTCTCTTTTCTTCCCTGGCGGCATCCCTTTCTTCTGATACATCAGGGTCTCGGATCTCGCAGTGGCATAGATCGGGTTTGATTTTTTTTCTCGGGAATGGTATCACATCTTCTCGGTGGGGTTTGCGAGTTGATGGCACACTTCTAGGTCTAGAAGTAGATACTGACGGTGCAGGTGTAGTTGAACTTTTGTAGTTTGAAGAAGATGTAAGAAGTCTATGTTTGTGTCTATGATGACTGGATGTTGTCCAAGAAGGTTCTGTTGTTACTTCACTTGGAACAGTGTCATTCGAAGACATTTCTTCGTTTCTATTCATTTTAACATTGGGCTCAATTGTTGTTGTTCTGAAAACTTTCCTGTCCAGGTTGTGTGGTCTCTTCTTTTTTCTTCTACTTGTTCTAGTTGTATGATCAATAGGTATGGGTCTGAACATGTTCTGGTTATTTGCAGGGTTACTTCTATCAACAGATAATCTGTTGTGCTGAAAAGTCAGATCATTGAATGAGTTCAACTCTGTTCCATTAAAACCAGGTGTAGCGTCCTGCGGCCTAGTATTTTTTAGATGTCTCCTGATTTCCTTCAAGGTTTCCAATTTGTGTTTGAGGTCTTGAATTTCATTTTCGACTCTATGTCTGGACCTGCGCCACGTTTTTTTGTCTTTGTAAATCACTGTCGAACAGTTTATTTTTCCTTTTTGGATTATACAGGCAGGTGTTGAAATTGAGTTTGAGTTCATGTTGTTTTCGGGGGCCATTACGTTGTTCGTAGTATCATTTTCAACCTGGAATCGAAATGAAATTGAAAATCTATTATCGAAAATCTTAGAATCCTACTTAGGATTAAACATATTGAAAACTCACCGTCATCCCGTGCATTTGATCGTCGAAACTCTCTAGAGCATGTTCTAATTGGTTCAAACGCACTCTTCTTTCTCTTTTGGTCACCCTGTGAATCTTATTGTCATCTTCCTCGAATACGACGTCGTCCAAAACCAAGTCTCTTTTGATTCGGCCAATTCTCAGGTCTCTTCTAGTTAAATTTTGCAACTGAAAATAAAGTAATATCATTATTGTATACAGGGTGTTTCTAAAATAGGAGCAATCCGTGGACTGGTAATAGAAGACGAGAAAACAAAAGAAAATGAAAGAATACATTTATGTGAAGAAAAATTTTAGAAGATATTGAATCTTGGAGTTCAAGCCTAAACTGACCTAACTTTTGAGGATCACTGATCAGACACGCCGACAGAGGTCAAGGGCAGGGAGGAATAGTGGGTGATGTATAATCTGAAGGGGGTTGAATGATTGCTTATGATTTAAATCAATGTCACCCTGGGAGAAGGTGAATAAGTTGTGTAACTAACCCTGGAGAATAAGGAGAAGATTTTATTTAGCAGTATGTGTAGACAGGAAATGCCGAAATTAATGTTATTCAATAAGTTTATTGCTAATTGACAATCTACTTCACTCAATTTCCATTCTCTCACTATCTTCGTTCAATTCTCAACGAATCAAAAAAAAACATAATGAAATGAATCCGACTCCTAATATGAATTTCATTTTCCTTCCATAAAAGAAATAAATCATTTTCACCTATACATTTTAAGAAAGAATAAAAAAGACTATTTCTTTCAATGGAGCTAATGCGTCAAAGATATTGAGACATACGAGTTGGCTGAACATTTCCAGTCAAATTTCGCCAATGCCATACGTCGTCAGTTGGCGGCTAGGTTAGGTCGCTCCAATTTTAGAAACACCCTGTAGATACAAAAATTCACTGAAAATCAAGTCAGTGCAGTTGCGTGTATTGAAGATATAGAAACATTAGTTTGAGCCTTACTGGAAGTTTTTTGTAAATGAGTCCATTTGGTGTGAAACAGGCACATTTCCTGTAGGCTCTGTCCGAAGGATAGGGAATGGTTATGGGCCCATGGTCAATTGATTTGCACTTATGTTTTCTCCATCTACCACCGTCATTCACGCAATACCACTTTTGTCCTTGCAAGCAGGGTAACTTCATTTCCTCCCTAATACATTCTATGGCAAGTCTCTCCAATTTTCTAGCTGGTAAAGCCGGTAGAAGCCTGTTGTCCAGTTGCATGTCTCCTAAAATTACATTTATAATTTCTAAAGGCCAAGACGTATTTGAATGATGTGCAAGTTGGTACCTTCGTCCATATTAGTCATTGCTAATCCAACATTGTCGGTGTTGGTTTTTTCTTCTAGATCACCATCTTCCTCATCTAGTTCGTCATCTTCTACTGTTTCAGTATGGTCTTCTATGTCCTCATCATTTTCTGAAATGGATTCTGAAACGTTGTCCTCACTCGAGTCATAGACTCGTGGTAAAAGGGGTTCTTCAGTAGACATTTCAGAAGTGGAATAGTTGAAAGAATCATATCCAATGGTGGTTGTTGTCGTAGAATGAACTCCAGAATTCGGAGATCTTTGATTGGCAGCAGCGGAGTATCTGTTCAACCTTGATTTGTCCAAGTTTGGGAACTCCCTACGACCTGAGCTAGATGATATAATAATTCAGTTGAAATAGATAAATGTATATGTTATACAAGTTTCATAAGATACTAGTCTATATTGTATACTATTTTATATGTCTCATAAAACGTGGGTAATATACTGTATTTTCTATTTTGCATTCATTTGTACTTTTATTTGTTCATTAAAACGCAAAATTGAAAAATACTTCATATCCAATTATTTATCTAGGCCCTAGCTTAGTTCACATTATCATCCATTCCATACCTTTCGATTAAAAATGTGTCGGGCCATTTCAACTTTTTTCTTTTCGGGTTCAGGAATAGCGGCAAAACGGACTTTCCGTCCATATGTGGAGGAGGGACGACTCCTGCCATGTCTAAGAATGTGGGTGCCAAGTCTATGTTCAGGACTATCTCGTTGACTATCGTGCCTGGTTCTACGCCTGGCCCTCTGACTAGAAACGGTACTCTTATGTCGAATTCGAAAGGAAATCCTTTGCCCTGTGAAAAAAATACATATTTGTGCAAGAACTGGAATCAATTATTAGTAATGCTTTCAACCAATCATCAAAAAAGAAAAGAAATACCTGCCAACAACTAGGCCAATTGCCCTGTTATCAGACATCGTCAAAGTGATGGAGAAAAAGCCATCAACATTGAGATCATCAAATATCTGGAAAGCTCAGGAATCATCAAATAAAGACAATACGGCTTTCGCCACCGAAGATCAACTGGAGATTTACTTGTCTACGTCACCCATATATGGCAAGCTCCATTAGAAAAACATGAATCTCTAGCTGTTGTATTGGATAATATATCGAAGGCATTCGACCGGGTTTTGCACCAAGGGCTGCTCCACAAACTACCATCACATGGCTTACCACCTCAGCTATGCCATCTTTCATCGAGTTTTCTTTCAGGCAGATCGCTCCATGTGGTGGTGGACGGAGTATCGTATGAAACCATTACCATCAATTCCGCCGTTCCACAAGGATCAATTTTGGCACCAACATTGTTTCTACTTCACATCAACGATCTATTGGGAGCAACCACTTGCCCTATGCGTTTTCTTCCAAATTCCTATTTCTTTCCTGGAAACTAAGAACTTACGACGAAGGCAGGCCAACACTGTTAATGAAGATCTTGCGGAAATTATAGCCTGGGAAACCAACAACCTAGTTGAATTCAACGCCATCAAAACTCATGCCTGTATTTTCTCTAGAAAGGTGGAACTCAGTATGCCTGACATAACAATGTCTGGTACCACCATTACCACCAAGACCACTATATCTATGCTCGGTATCACCATCAGCCATACTCTCTCATGAGAAAATAATGTTAGATCACTCGCAAAAGCTGCTTGACAAAAACTCAGATTCTTGTTCCGTGCGAATATCTACTTTACACCTCAACAGCTTCTCATGATCTACACAGCACAGATACGACCAGTTTCAGAATACTATTCTCATGTATGCGGTTCTGCCAAAACTCTTTCATCTATAGAACGGCGAAGCTTTGGAATTCTTCGCCAATGGAAGTATTCCCAAGAACTTATAACTTTTCATAAGTTCAAAAAAATTCCAACAACTACCTCTTCTCCCTATCCTCTCCAGGTACGCACGATGTTCCACGAACATGATAGAACTTTCCTTTCGTGCGCTCCAAAAGATTAAAAATTAGGGATGCAGCTGTTTATCGCATATCACACCTAAATATTCACATCTGCAAAACATAAGCAATAACACAATATTATTATTATTATTATTATTATTATTAACTGACAATAAGGGCAGAGGCAAAGTAACAGAACAATTATACAGGCTGATTCACGGTGGATGGCACATTAGACGTTTCTGGTGAACGAGACAACGGATCATTTTGAAAATTCAATGAAGGGCATATTCGGACATTCTCTAGCCAACTAAAATATTTTCGACAATGCGGTGTTGCCGCTTCTATTAGAAAGCAGTAGCAACTTTGATTTTTCAAATGGAACACTCTGTATTTTATTGCATTTTTAGATTCTCCCTGAAGAGTTGATTTCATCGATGTATCACACTTGGGGTCTAGCGGAAATGATTACAGAGATATAGGGTGTGAAAAATCGACATTTTTCAACTTTAGGATTTTTTTGTGTCGAGACTATTCATCATTGGTCGAAACGGCTTACATGTCCCTATCTCAACTTTTGATTAACTATCTACTGATATTTAATTGGGACATATACCGGGTGATCAAGATTCTGAATTCTGCACCACCCTGTATTTGTTTCAATTAAATGTTAGTAGATAATTGAGCAAAAGTTAAGATAGGGACATGTGAGCCGTTTTGACCAATAATGAATGGTTTCGACAAAAAAAATTCCTAAAGTTGAAAAATGTCGATTTTTCACACCCTATATCTCTGTAATCATTTCCGCTAGACCCCAAGTTTGATACATCGATGAAATCTGCTCTTCAGGGAGAATCTAAAAATGCAATAAAATACATAGTGTTCCATCTGAAAAATCAAAGTTGCTACTGCTTTCTAATAGAAGCGGCAACACCACATTGCCGAAAATATTTTAGTTGGCTAGAGAATGTCCGAATATGCCCTCCATTGAATTTTCAAAATGATCCGTTGTCTGGTTCACCAGAAACGTCTAATGTGCCATCCATCGTGAATCAGCCTGTATAGCCATGGAGACCAATTTCTCTATTATCACTTCTTCCAAGAACTGTGGAGTCATTCCGCGCCATAGGTGAATGAATTAACTCTTGAGGATAAAATGAAAGATTCTGGCCATAACGTGGTTGTGTGGAGACATAATATTCCTTCTAGTGCAAAAATTTTATTGTCTTACCTTGATAAGCCCAAACTGTCCCAAGTGGTATCCGTGATCCGAAGTGAACACGATGTAGGTGTTATGGAGTTCCCCAAGGTCTTCCAGTTCCTCTACGACTCTCTGCACCGCCGAATCGACAGACTGCAACGTTTGCAAACGTTTCGTCATCAAAAGGTCGGTGAATTGCTTATGGATCGGTTCCATGCCCTGCGTGAACTTCAAAATCCACTGTTTGTCTGGATTGGGGGCATGATCGTAACTTGGAGTACTGAAAAACATAAGATTTATCATGAATTAATAATATTTTGGGCCACTCAGGTTCTGCAAACATTGTGAGTAGGTACCCTGTTCCCAGCACCTAACAAACCAGAACAAGGCAACAGATTAATAAACCTTACTTTGATGAGTTTCAGAGCAATCGTGAGTAGTGAAACACTGGCAAAAGTAGGATATAGCTTATGAGCAACGATCATAGTCTGTGTTCGAAATACCAGAAACTGAAATACTAGACTATATGGCAAGATGGTTACTTACAAGAAACCACTATGATTACTGAAACGGTGTTCCCAAGCAAAGGCATTGTGAAGTTATGGTTAAAATACCGTCCAAGATAAGATTATGCACGCACGATGTTATGCAAACATTATAAAAATTCTTTTTCGTTCGCTCCAAGCGATAAACAAATGTATGCATCATACTAGAGTGTGGAGTCTCTAACATGCTGGAGGTATATCCTTCTCGGAGTAGATACCTCACAGGTGGCTTTTAGAAGGAAAATGGAGAAGGGGCTGTTGAACCTAATTAAGTCAGCAAATCTTTGCCTAGGAAGCCTAATGACTTTGTAGTTCTTGAGCACTGGAACCTATACTGATAATTCTGAATAAATCAAGTACTGAGATTGACATTTTGAGTCAAATGTAAGGAAATAAAATTAATCACCTCATCTATTTATTGTATTCTAGCATGTCGAGACTAGCTAAGGTTATTTTCTGTACTACTGCAGGCGTTGAAACATGGCTTAATCTTTGGAGAACCTGTACTTGGTAGGAGCAGTCTGTGTTTTTTGAGATTCCAGAAACAGCATGTGTTATCCTCCATCTACTTCTTTAAGTTTGTGCCAGAGAAGGCGATGTAGTGTGAGAAAGCATGTGAACATGTGATGAGTTTTAACTGTCATGCGAATAATTGATAAACTTTTTGAGACTCTTCAAATGTTTTGATTTCCACTGCTTGAATTCATAAATTCTTGTCTGATTTCATTCTTTGGACTATCTCTTCAGTCTTCAGTATGCACTTTTACTTTACTTTTACTTGCCCTACCGATTATTATTGATCAAATAGGTAATTGGATTACGTAGAGTAGCAGATTGTTGAGTTAGTTGAGTTGAGTAAGTCGATGATTAGGTGGATATATCTTGAAATATTTCATTACAAAACTTGTAATAACTTTCTTTTGAGTTATATCCTTTGCCCACATATCCTAAAATTATATTTCTTCTTAACGTGTTTCAAATTCAGTCCCAGGAGTTCGTTTACGATAGTTTCTAACTTCCCTGGCGCAAGTGGAAACTAATCTGGGAATTTGCAAAGGAATCCGGCTCACGTTTCAATGAAAGATAAAACTTTTCGGTCTTTTAGGGAGAGTCTTAAGTTTCATATCGCTACTTTCCAGGAAATACTTTTCAAAGTGAACAAACTGATTACGGACTTGGTCGAACTCAATTCTGATTAACTGATGGTAACTATCGTTAAAGTGTAATGATGAAATTAGTTCTGAGGATTCAAACAGAAAAATGTGAGGTTTTCTGGATTCATTAAATGTGAAGAAAGAGGCAGTATCTCTTTCAATTATCTAAAGTTATATTTCAAAAGTAATAGGTACACATATCACATGAGTTTGATCCATTCAATGTACTTAAGTAATTTTACTCCATAATGGGTCAAATGGACCGAATTTTCGTATTCAGTCATCTCAGTTTTTTTTATTGCATCAAGTTGCTTTGCATCTGGATTATTTTGAAAGGAATCGAAATCATGAATAGGAAAAACAAATACTATACTGAACATTAAATTTATATACAAGAATTATTATGGTTTGGTTATGTAATTATGTATATGAAGCGGTTTGCATTCATATAGAATGTGTGCGTAAATTATTATTCGTTCACTCGCGATTCACGACCTGTATTTTAGATTCGAATTTTGCATTAAACAGCAATATTTCAACGAACCTTCCTTTCTTCGTACCCAGAAGTTTTTATTTATTAGGCCAATTTGTCTCTGAGGAGTTGTCATTCGAAATGATGTGCTGTCAATGCAAAACATGAAATAAATTCAATAACCTCTAGGAATTGAGGCTGAATAATACTTGAATGTCTAATTTGATAAGGAGTGTACCTTTTCATGATGGTATTATAGGGATTGAAAAACTCAACAATTTGGTGCCACACAGAATATTCAATTAAATCCTTCCGAAATCAACGCAACTATTCTAATACTGGTTGATTACATATTCGCAAGTATTTCTTCTTTCCTAAATTCCGAATCGTGCTTGAATTGAGGCATCGCCTAACCACCTGCATAGATATTGGTGCTCCGTCTGAGGCGATACCTGACACAACAAGAGCCCAATCCAGCATTTAGCCGTAAAACATTAGCAACAAACGAGACTTTTTCACATTTTCTAGTGACAGAGAGAAAGAAAAACGCCAACGTGTTTTTTCAAGTTAGATACTTCAAATTTGATACCAAGATATAACGTGCATCAAATGAATGTACTTACTGATGAGTAGTGACGTTGAAGAACAGATCTGAGAACTGTGGTGCAGAATCTTCCGGTCCATGCGGGGCAGGAAACGACATCGTGAGCATCACAGGTTTGTGTTGGTATTGCTTTTTGGAATGCCTGAGAAATGCTATGGAGTCATTGGCAATGAGGTCGGAATAGTAATCCTGGAAAAAAGTTTAAAAAATAATATGTTATATGATATAAGAGTTAAAAGTGATATTTTATTTTGTGAGAAGGAAACAAGATGAAATCACGTTTTACAGGTATATCATGCACTATTTTTTCTACAAAGGAAACAGAACATTGCGGATCAAATTTTGTCCAAAATTTCGGCGGATAACATTGCTCTTTGCCCTGGTACAAGCTTCAGCAAATTGAATTATGTTATATCTACCAACGAGACTGGCAATGAAGTTTCTTATTTTTTAATTACAGTTTCACTAATTGTACGTTTAATTGAATAAACATTTCATTTTGATTTATTTTTTCATATTTTTCCACAAATATAAACCACTTTTCAGCACTAGTGCTAAGAGTATTTTTTCCGTCGACTTCGTATTAACGACTAAGTTTAATGTATATGAAGTCGTTCATCAATGACCCCTATTAATGAACGATTTGTCTATTAATGCACGATTATTTTATAGGCAACCAAACATACACCGCGTGCATTCATTGTTTATGCTATAACTTATGGAATCTGCATTTAAATCGAAAATATGGATTCCATCGAAGATTTTCTGTTAACGGGTTCGCCTTTCCAAGTTTCTGACACGATTTTAATCCCTGTTTTCTAACACAAGGAATTTATGTTCTATGTTGATCATTTCGACGAATGTCAAATGTCGTTGACAAGGCTACTGGGTGATTCTTAGCAGTTTCCGGATGAATGATGAAATTTCAACACCAATGTCATTAAATGGCATTCTTTAGACAATGACAGCATGCGTTGAAAATTATACTTTTACTGACGTCTGTAGAAAAAACATTCTTTCGCCATTGTTCATAATCTTCTGTTGTAGTGTTTGTACTTTTTTGTCAAGTTCAGTGTTGAAACATTAAACATGGCTGTAAAAGTTTGCCCCGCACTTGAAATGTTCAACAATTTTTTTCATTGTTTTTCGGTCTTGTTTGAAAAAAAAAATACTATGATTTATATTCGTTTGAGAAACAATATGGCAGACAAACCTTAACTTGACACAATCTGAAACTGTTTTTTTTTTGAGTCGCACTGTATATTCTTAGGTGTCAAATTCTAAAAGCTTGAACTTTCTCGAACCGAACGAGACGTTAGACCTGAAAACCCGTTGAAATAGAACTGACGAACCAGGTATGATTTCACATATCGAATCATATTTTCGAAGTATTCTTTCCACATCAAAGTTGGCGTAAGATGAACATCGCTAGTTGCATTTGATCGTTGCTCTTCAGGATTATAAACACTGTTTTATGATACGATCTCATATGGTTTCTCAAATATACAAGGTTGTTCAAAACGTACATAGGTATCTCGGATAATGAAGGCTGATATTCCTTGGCGAATTATCTAGGACGAGAGTTTTACATGGGTCCGCTGGCTAGCAAAAACGACCATTTTGCAGCCACTCACTTCGGTTTTGCGTCATTTTTGCTCAAACAGACTTTTTCGTCGAACAAAACACAAGCATTCATTCCGTCGCCCAACAGCAACCGTGAAAAAAATTGTACTTTTTTTCACACTTCTTCGTAAAATAATGAAACAGTATTTTGATAATTGTGCACTTTAGGCACACAATAGATATTTACGTAATCAGTTAGGAAACGCGTTGTTTTGTGTAACGATGGGATTTTGCGGGACGAGCGAAGCAAGATCCCGCAACATCACAGAGTTACACAAAATGGCGTTTCCTAACGTGTCACGTACAATATTTTTTCTAATTTTGACGAAACATTTCGCATGAACAAAAATAATGACCAGTTTTACATGAGTTCTGCCGACTCTTGTTGTGTGAAATGAATGAATGAAATGAACATTACATCACCAGTTATGTAAAATTTTACTTTACGCAACTGGTTACGTAAAGTAAGACGTTTCAAAACTTCAGTCAGTTTTGAAAAGTGTGACATTACATGTCAAAATTAGAAAAAATATATTAAATGCAGTTTTCAAATTCTTATCGTGTGTGTTCAATAGATGTAATTCAATATTCGTCGTCGCATATAGCCCGAAAGTAGTTGTTTTCTGTTGAATAAACCGAGAAAGAATTAATATTTTCATCACATGGAGATTGCGAATTCTCAATGTATTTCTTTATTTATACATCCATTTTCGTGTTCATAAATATATCTGAGAATATTCCTTTTTGAATTTTTTCATACAGTTGTAGGAAACATATTTATTTGTATGCCTAGGCCGAGAAATAACATTTTGGCAAGCCGAAAGAAAAGTAAGATAATCTAGAGGTCGCCAAAAAAATGTGCATCCATTGTATACACACTATTCATATTATCGAACTAAATAATTGAAATGACATTTTGATTGAATACTAAATATTTTGACAGTTCTTGACAAATCGATCTGACACCGATCGATTTTGTTATGTCTAATTCGGAAGTGGGCTTTGGTTTGGCGTCCGTTGCTATGGGTAACGGCTGGGAAGTTATACTTCGCGTCATGATGAAAATAGACTGGTGTAACCACTTGTCAATTGTTTTTTTCCAAAACGTGTAGACCGCGAAACACCGTAGCAAGGCCGCACCGGATTGATTGTAGATGGCGTAGGGAACATCGTGCCACATGAACTTCACAGATATAATGAAAATTTCACGTCTTTTTCATTAAATCAATCACTTTTTCTCAATGCTTTTGAATTACGAATTAATATACGTAAATAATGTAAACAACAAAACAAAACAACCATTGTGTAGCAAGATCACTTCGGGAACAGCGCCATCTAGCGTTAGTTTTGCGCGGCCTTACTACGGTGATAGAATTCGACATAATCAAGTAGGCCAGAGGTCTACAAAAATTTCTAGGGTTTTGTAAGAGGGAGCTATTTCACCATACATATATCCACCTTTCTTCGCGTATATACTGTGTAGAGAACACGAAGTACCTTCTTCGCGTACTATTGCACGAAAATAATATTTGGTTAGTTGTCATGCATTGAATAGACACTCAGCACATTAGTACAGGGTATCCCAATTTGGGCACTTTTGCGGGGTATCTCCCTTATCAGTAAAGATAGGGCATTGCGGTTTTCGCGACAGTGTGCTACTTTTTTATGAAATTAATAATGGCGCAAGCAGAATTGTGGTAGCTCTTCCGGTTGTCTAGATACAGGGTGGAATTGAAAAATATCACCCCCCGTGTCTCAGTTATCTTTGAACTTATCGAAGAAGTTAAAACTTGTTTTTATAGAGTTTTTCTCGTAGAATCCAGTGGCGTAGTAATTTTTTTGCTAGCACCTTTTGTTTTTTAGTTATGGAGCAAACATATGTTTTTTCAAATGGAAAATAATTGTATACAATTATATATTTTTGGAAAGCCCACTTCATGCTCAATGTATATATGAAATAATATACAGGGTGTTCCATTTAAAAAAACATATGTTTGCTCCATAACTAAAAAACAAAAGGTGCTAGCAAAAAAATAACTACGCCACTGGATTCTACGAGAAAAACTCTATAAAAACAAGATTTAACTTCTTCGATAAGTTCAAAGATAACTGAGACACGGAGGGTGCCTGAAAAGTGATATTTTTCAATTCCACCCTGTATCTCGACAACCGGAAGAGCTATCACAATTCTGCTTGCGCCATTATTAATTTCATAAAAAAGTAGCACACTGTCGCGAAAATCGCAATGCTCTATCTTTACTGATAAGGGAGATACCCCGCAAAAGTGCCCAAATTGGGATACCCTGTACATAAGTATTTACGATTGTTGATGCCGAATAAAAATGCAAAGATCCATTGATTGTAGTACATGTATTGTATATTCCTAGTTAGTATCAAAGTTGAATATAAAATTGTGAAAATACCATGAAGACCATCAATATTGACCCCGTGCTATAAAATTGTGCTCCGCACCTAGAATGTGCAACAAAGTTTCTGTTATGGGTACTTACTCGGAAATATAATGAAATATGATAGTTCAATTGATTTATTGTATTAGATCTAGTAATGCTTCAGAGAATTATGTTGTGATACGTGTATATGCCTGCGAGAAGACTTAGCTATAGAGGGTGATGGGGTCAATAACTGTTCTCAGAATTCGTAGTATCGCAAGGTCAGTACCCCGCTCATGCAGCAAATTTATTTTTATAGTGCATCGGAATCTCCAGATATCTTATCTTGATTAATTCATGTGCGATTCGTTTGTAGCGAAAATCCATTTTTTTTCTGTAACCCGGAGTTGGTAATGTGAGGTGTGAGAAACCCCAGCCAATTTCGCGAGCTGATAAGATATTTGCATGTGCATCCTAATCAGAAATCATTTATTCATGACAAAAGAATACACATCGTGTGGTGAAGACTACAGAATGCATAAACTTATCGGACTAGTCAGGAAACGAAAAAATACAAAAACTAAGTGTAATACATAGAGACATGATAGACTGAATAAAAACAATTTTTAAAAATGGTATAAACATATAAAACTTGGACAACCTATCAATTCAAGATTCGAATGACTGTAATTTCAAATTATATACATGAAAAATACAATATTATCCTAGTGTAGTACATAAATACAAGAATGTATATGAAATAAAACAGATATCTATCAAAATAGTTTCAAAATATATTCAGGAGCCCAGAAACTCTTCAACACTATAGAAAGCTTTATAACTCAGAAATGTTGATATCCTAATTCTAATTGTTGACATGCTACCGCTCATGTCTATTAGATTTTTCTTCATATTGAAACATTTAATACCAACATATTTTGGGGAATTTTGTCCAATGAGCAGACGGGAAAAGGGCAGATGAATGTTTTCCTTATTCCTTGTATCATATCCATATATCTGGTCATTTTTCGGAAATTAATTTTCATTCTTTTATAAAAATTATTAGGTTCAAGATATAAAGGCAAGGTAGCGTTAATATTTTTAATTTTCTGAATAATGGTTTACAAGGTTCTGAAGGGTGAGTTTTGTTCATAGTTCTAATATTTTTTTTTGGGA